AGGTCATTGTTGGCTAAATAGAGTGTTTGCCGGCAGCCTGTCTCAAAAATTTTAAATTTAAAAACAGAACCTGAAGTGAGCAATGCCTCGGTGCAATAATGTGATCTAGGACTCTCCCTGACATCTCAGATGCTGCGGGGAATGAGAAGAGGCTCCAAAGTCGCCTGTGCCCCTGGCAGCACCTCCAATCCTGTCACAGAGCATATGCCCTCTTTAATGGTATTTGGGGGGCCTCTGGTGTCCCCCTGAAGCTGCTGGACTCAGGTCAGGCTTCTCTCCCGAAGTGAATGCAGAGGGTCCACACTCCACTCGTTCTCTCCCTAACCCCTGACTAACGCCCCTCCTGTTTTTAGAAACCTGCTCCAAAACTCAGTCCTCCTAGAATTGTTCCTTGGATGACTCTCCTAATTCTGCTCGGTTTTGACTGGGATGATGTTCAGGACACTGTGGTGGCATTTCAAATGTATTTTAATAAATAAAACTGCCTGAAGATCTGAGAGTGAAACAGTCCCCCTAGTCAGCCTTATAAACCAGGTTATGGTAACACACACCTTTAATCCCAGTAGCCACAATGACATGCACCTTTAATCCCAGCCCTAGAGAGGAATATGTGGGAGGGGATAGTTCGCAGACACACAGTTTTATTCTGAGATTCCTGGAGGCAGGGTTTTCACTTCAGATTGAGGTCAAGGTAAGAGCCTGTAGCTGGCTCTTTTACTTTTCGGATCCTCAGGTTAAACCCCAATTTCTGACCCTGAGTTTTTATTAATCGTGCTTCATTTGGTGCCCATGTGAGAACAGAAGAACTTTGGGTGACTGTCTAGGTAGCAAGATGTATCTGTCAATTCTAGAGTTTTGGAAGTTGCTTACAATGCACTTCCTGTTTACTAAGGTAATATTATAGCCCTCTGGAGTCTTTGATGGAGTTGAAGACTAGATAGTCACAATTATAGTTTTCCTAAGTTATAATAAAAGATAAAGCAGATATAAATGTTGTAATTGTAATTCTTGTTTGATAACTGTTTTGCATATGTAATTTTACTACGTTAAAGTTAAAACCTTCCTTTTTATTTGAACAGAAAAGGGAAAATGGTGTGGAAAGTCCTTCTGTGTATGTGTTGCTTTTGTTGGTTAATGAATAAAGTTGTTTCGACCAGTGGCTTAGCAGAATAGAGCAAGGCAGGAATTCCAAGCAGATAGAGGAGGAAAGAAGGCAGAGTCAGGGAGAAGCCATGTAGCCACTACAGGAAACAGACGCCAGATTCCAGATGGAACCTTAACAGTAGGCCACAACCATGTGGCGATACACAGATTAGTAGAAATGGGTTAATTTAAGATGTAAGAGCTAGCTAGAAATACACTTAAGCTATTGGCCAAACAGTATAGAAAATAATATAGTTTCTGTGTGATTATTTCAGGTCTGGGTAGCCAGGAAACAAATGAGCAGCCTCTACCAACAGGACATCTTAGCAGGGAAGGGATAATTCTGCCCACACATGCCAGGAGCTCCCTTACTGACCCATCTTATCACCTCACTACTTCCGTCAGACTTTTGCCAGCCAGAAGGACGTGGTCAAACACTGTTCTCCACTCCCTCCCTGCTACCCCCACCCACTGAGTACAATTCTCTAGACTGTTTAATGAGTTAATTAATACCTGGAAGTCCATGCACTGTGGTTATCGGCCCAGCCTTTACCACCCCATCATTTATGGTCCTTCAAAGAAAAGTATAGATGAACTTAAGAAATCTTTCTGCCACGCAGCAATGGACAGGGACCTTTGACCTCTAAAAGAGTCATCTCTGAGAGGCTGGTTGCTCTTCAGGTGGTGCGGGCATTGCCTCGCCTACGGGGGCGAACAAGATAATGCCTGGGGAGGTCTTAAGAAGCTTTGCTATTTTGCACTTTGGGACTCTTGCCATTTTATAGCCCCTAATTGATAGCCCTCAAGGTTCATGTAATCAGCCACAGATTTCTTCAAGACTGGGACAAAAGCCATACTTAAGCAAAATGTGTCTCTGTTAGCCTTGGATAACCTACCCAAACTGACACTGTGTCATTAAAAAAACCCATTCTTTTTGTGGTCTATCAAGTCAGTTTTTTTTTAAAAAAAATATATAATTTTAAAGGTAACACTATGATTAGAAACTGATGTGAGGGGGGAAAATGTGGGAGAAAAATTATGTATCTAACAAAGGACTCTTCCCCCAAAATAAGTGAAAAACACTCTAAGGTGAATGGTAGGAAAACAAATAATCCAGCTAGAAAGTGACCAGAAGGCCTGAGTGCGACCTCCACCAATGCGGGTATCAGAGCATCGATAAGCACAGTAAAAGATGTTCAACAATATCAGCCATTGGGAGAATTCAGAGTAAAACACTGTGACATAGTACCGAGTGCTTTTCAGAATGGCTATAACTGTAAATACCGATAAAATTGAATGGAAATAAGGCTGCAGAGAATTTAAGGTTCTTTGCGCATTGCTAGAGAGAATAGAAAACGGTAAGTGTGCTCTAGAAATAAGTTTAATAATTTCTCTACAATTTAATGGGGCTAGCTCAGTGCATAAGAGTATTTGCTGTTCTTGAAGAGGACCAGGGTTCAGTTCCCAGCACCCACACGAGGCAGCTGTAACTCACAATCAACTCTATCGCCAGGAGATCCAACACCCTCTCTGATCACACAGTGCACATAGACACAGCAGGCATATGCATGAATAAACCACATAGATTTATACGTTAAATATAGTTACTTATAACCACTTTATGATAATAGCCAAAAACTAATGCCGGAAATGTCTTTTAACATTTAATATGAAAGGCTGAAGCAACTGTGGTACATTATGCACTGGACTGTCACTCTGCAGTAAGTAACAAGGCAGGATTGCTACTTAACAACAATTTGGATGGACCTAAGGGCATTCTGCAGACCTTTAAAAGCCAGTATAACGAGTCTGAGGGATGACTCAGTAGGCCTTGCCACCAACCCTGACAGCCCAAATTCTCTCTGCCGAACCCACACGACAGAAGGAGAGAACTGACATCAGAAATTTGTTGTCTGACCTCCATATCTATGCCATGGCACACTGAGAACAAGAGTGTGTGCCTTTGAAAGCCAGTCATAGAAGTCAGGTTTTGTATGGCACATTTACGTGGCAAGGTCTCAATGACAAATGTAGAAGGGACACACGTGAAGCCGAAATGGGGAAGGGGCAGGAGAGGAGTGATGTAAGAAAGGACATGAGGGGGAGACAGAACACATGGTTATGGTGGAAATTATGCATCTGATTAAATGTCATAAAATTATACCTAAAGACGCCAAAATGAGAGCATGCAGAAAACCGACAACATCCAAGCTCTGTGATCCAGTCCACTGTATTCCACAGGAAGCCAACAGCTTTCTGGCTTTGGTCATGCTGTGTACTCACAGATGATGTCACCACCAGGGAAGCTAGTTGTGAAAATAAGGGAATTTTCATGTCTATACTGACTTCAAAATTGTAAGAAGTTCTATGAAGAACACTTTAAATTTTTATGGTTAATCGAGGATCTTAAGAGATGATTATAAGCACTTGATAAAACAGAATGACTGAATTAAGAAATGAAGCCTTAGGGACGCTGGAGAGACGGCTCTGTCCAAAGTGCTTGCCACACAAGCATGAGCGCCCGAGTTTGATCCCGAGTGCCAACATAAAAGCTTAGGTGTGGCTGTGCAGACTTGTAACCCAGTGCTGGGGAGGTGGAGATGGGCAGGTCCCTGCCACCCAATCCCCAGCCAGTCTAGTCTATCAGATGTCAGGTCCCAATGAGAGATCCCGTCATAATAGTAAAAAGGTGGAGTGTTCCTAAGGAACAGGAATGACACCTAAAGTTGACCTTTGACCTCTACGTGCATGCACATCCAAGTGTACACCTATTTACACACACACACACACACACACACACATGCACACACGCCTTGCACACATGAACTACCCCACCCTAAACACAAAGAAATGAAAAGTTAGAAAATGGAAAAAGGAAGGAAATTGCTAACGTTGAAAGGAATGAACAAGTATGTTAATGAACAAGGTTGAAAAGATAATTATATAATAAAGCCAACAGTTATAGCTCTAAATAGAAGGCAAGCCACTAGCTAGCCAAATCAAGACAAGGCAGAAGAGTCTAAAGTGCACAAAATTAAAACTAGGATGGGAAAGAGTACTCACAAAACCTAAGGAGACCAGTTAGCCTGCAGGGAGTTGAGAACCTGACAAAGCACAAGACTTTCTCACAAAGGCAACAGGCCAAATGGTTTTGAATGCATGTTCTTATTAAACCTTCAAGGACCAAAAAGGACTCTCACATACACACAATGAGCTTATCCTTTTTATTTTATATCCTCATTTTGCAGCTCCCTCCATAAAAGCCCATTTTAATAGGATTAGTATAGCATATTTTAGAATTATTTTGTATTTAGTATTAGTGAGGTTGGGAGAGGTGGGGTGGGTGTGCATGCCATAGTTAGTGCCTGTGTGGAGGTCAGAGATGACTTTTAGTGAGGTCATGACTTTGCATGAATTCAGGGGTGGGGCTCAGGCTGACAGGCTTCTCAAGAAGTGCCTTTCCCTGCTAAGCCACCCTACCCACCCCTCGTAGAACCCATTTGCATAAGCTGGGCCTTACTGGAGGTGCCATGTGTTCAATGGTACCACAGGACCGTGGTAGAGCGCCATGATTCCTATGCTGTTCTGGTCTTGTTTATTCTTTTCCCACATTATTCCCAGACCTCCTTTGTGATCTTTAGTAAACCTGCTAAGATTTCTCCACAAAGATCATGTGGTTTCAGCTTCTGCTCATTCCTTCGGGGATTTCTTGCCCTGGTGAACAATTCCAGCTCTTTAGATCGCACTTCGGGAAGTTTGAGTCACAGCTGGCACAGGGCAAGGCTGTTGGTCTGGTGGTCCCTCAGCTGGCACAGGGCAAGGCTGTTGGTCTGGTAGTCCCTCAGCT